ACTTTCCACTCTACAGCAGACACGATCAACAGCACTCTATAACGTGCTTAGCCAGCTCTCAGTAAGTCATAAACTATACTATTATAATCCCTGTTCTGTACCAGGTAACGTGGTTTCTGCTGCTTCCAACACATACAGACACCCAGAGTTAATCTGAAAAATTTTTAGCCGTTGCATTTAGCTAGAAATCAAGGAGAGCTGAAATACTTTTCCAATCTGTTTATATTCTGTGTCCTAAAATTTGTCTTAATTATAGTGAAAAATCAAATAATACATTTTGAAGAAAAGAAAGTGAGATACTTTCTCTATCTCAGATAAGAAAAAGGAACTTCCTACTCATATTAATGTAAAGGTTATTTGCTTGTGTTCCATGGGCAAATCGGATCAAATTCTGAAAATGAGAAGTTAGGAAAGTTGTGGTTGTCAGCACAGTATGTATTTAATGGAAATAAATTTTCCTTTCTCTTTGAACCCATTCTAATGGTTTCACAGTATTTATCAATACTTAAAAATCCAGAGAGAGTAACTTGACACAGTCACCGCCATTCAGCCTTTAATATAAACAGCAATATGATTCCTTCTGCTGCCAGTCATGTTCAGAAAATATTAATAATTACATATTCAAAGTGTATTAGGGTAGTACAAAGACTCATCATGGATACATACATACTACTTGCTCATAAACATTTAAATTATATCAATTAAAAGCATTACTGAAATTATAAGGTAGTTTTTAATTCTTTAAATATCTTATTGAAGTAATTTTTTTCTTGTGATCAATCATTAAAAGACTCTTAAGAACTGGGTGAATGATCTTCGCCATTTTGACAGGTAGAAGATGGAATGTTGGAGAGGATGTGGAGCAAAGGGAACACTTCATCATTTATGATGGGAATACAAACTTGTACAGCCACTTTGGAAAACATTATGGCAGTTTCTCAGATAATTATAAATCAATCTATCCCAAGACCCACCTATACCACTCTTGGGCATATACCCAAAAGATGCCCAATCACACCACAAAGACACTCTTTCAACTATGTTCATAGCTACATTGTTTGTAATAGCTAGAACATGGAAACAACTTAGATATCCCTCACCCAAAGAATGGATACAATGGAGTATTTCTTAGCTATTTAAAAATAGACATAATGAAATTTGCAAATGGATTGAACAAAAAGACAAACATGGTATGTACTCACTTATAAGTGACTACTAGCTGTAAAGTAAAGCACAATCATGCTACAATCCTCAGATCCAGAGAGACTAAGTAACAAGATAGGCCCTGGGATCTCACTGCAAAAGTGAAATAGAAAAGATATTGTTGGTGGAGTGGGGGCAGGTGGGAAGGGGAACAGGAGGGATCAGATTGAGAATGGAGGGAGAGACAACTGGAATTAGGGGGAGCATTTCTGGGAGAGGTAGAAACCTAGTATAATGGAAACTCCCAGGAATCTATGAAAGTGATCCCAGCAAAGACTTCCAACAATAGGGGATATGTGGCCTGAACTGCCCATATCTTAGAACAAGGCAAGACTTCCAGTGGAGGGACAGGGACAGCAACCCAGGCACATAAACTTTGACCTATAATTTGTCCTACCTACAAGATGTGCTGGGGTGAAGGTGACAAAGAAATTGTGGGAGTCACTAACCAATGACTGGTCTAACCTAAAACCCATGGCATGAGAGGGAGCCCACAGCTGATACTGACTGGAGGGCCAAATCCAGAGGATGGACAGTCCAGACACCTAGGAAAAACACAAAGTAAAGTCATCCTATGACTCTAAAAGCATTTTTCAGAAATGAAAAATCATATTTCTAAAACTAGAACACAAGGAGACTGTGACTCCTGATCTGCTCTTTGCTGTCTCTGTGGCACCATCTACCTTGATGTGGAGACACCATTGCCAACAGTCTAATGCGTGAGGCATATTGCAAATAACACCATTCACATCAATCTTTCATCAAGTGCCTTCTCTGCCAATATTTTTACTGCAGTCTGAGGATAGAACTTAGGACACAGTCACCTATATAAACCACTTCCAAATTTCTGACCCACAGACAATAAATTTGTGTGACTTTATTAAGGCTTTTACTTTTGAAGCAATTTGTTACTCATGAATAACTGTCTTTTCTAAAGGCAGTAGAATTCTCTAACTTTGTTAATTCCCTAATTCTCAAGGTCAAGCTCAACAAGTTTCAACTAAATGAAATAAAATTATATATGTACATTTCTTCATCATGTAAAATGTGGTTTCAATCTCAAAACATCAGAATTATGTATTTCCTTAAGTAATGTGCTTCAAAAGACCCCCTATGTGACTCTAACATTCACACAGGAACAAAACAATCTTTTTCTTGAAAAAATTTAGGTTTCTGGATGATACAGTCACGTCAACTGATATTTCTAGTACATTGTACTAATTCATTTAGACAAATGGATCCATATAGTACCAGAAGAAAGGAAATATAATATAGTATGTTATTCTTATCACATTACAGGGTCCATCAAAAAAGAAGGAATATGTCATGAAGCATGAATAAACATTTTCTAGATAAAAGTGAAAAAAATCTCCACTCATAGAATGGAATATTTATGACAAATTGGTTCTTTCTACCTTCTTTTGAAGAGCTATTTCATATAACCCTATAATTTAGATATTTTCACAATCCCCCACTTTGTAGCTGTAAAAACTGAGGCCAAGAGTGATTATATTTTCCCATTATCAAAGAGTTATCAAGTAGCATGTTCTATGAAAGCAAATAAATGAGGCACCAGAATCCTCATTCTTAATTATTAACCATCATGATAGTTCTACAAGAGTTGGGAGCTGGGAAAACTTCATTGTACATGGACAGCAAGAAAGAAAAGTTTGTGTTTGCCTAGGATGAGCAGGTAAGAAATAAATATGGTTGAGAAATTGGATATGTGCACTAAACTACAAGATCAAAATGAAGAGCTATGATAAGGGCTTGAATTTCATACAAGGTCTTTCCTGTGCTTAAGCAACAGTGGAAACAAGGCCTTTTCAGATGTTCACATAATGAAGATGTCTTTGGGGATTTACGAATGGGTAGGGACTGATGAGGATGGTATAAAATTTCCTAAGTTCTCTGAAAATAGAAGTAAGTGTGAAGTATAATATAGATAAGGTGTCACTGATACGAAAGCTCACATTTAAAAGTCATTTGTGTTTACAGAGAAAGCATAGGCTGTGAAGGATTCTCAGGGTCTTCTTGTGGGGATGGCTGATTTTGTCTTTTACAAATGTAGGCATCATAAGAAAGAAACTTCATGGAGCAGCTATGCTTCATATTGAAGACTTACTGAAGCATTCATTAACCATCAGATAAGGAAACCTATAACAGGTAACCATTCATAACACTTGATGACTGTAGCTCCATGGAAAATATTTCCAACATTTGTGTTATCTAGTCTGAAAACTTAATTGAAGGTAGCTTTGTATTTTATGGCATAAATTTCTGTGTCTGCTTATGAAATTAACTTATAGATATTAGAATGAACTAAAGCTATTCAAAATATATTCTATAAAATGAGTTATGTATATTTTATGGTCATATTTGGTTTTCAGGTTAAAGTAAATGAAATTATATTTGAATGGAAAAGATATATAAAATGCTACAGTCCATTTAGACTTAGTGAAAGTCAGTTTTCTGGAATATTATAACCAAATATTTTTCACTTAAAATCTGTCATTTTAAATTACAGAGAATACAACTTCATTTTCTTTAAAAATATGAAAAAAATACAGTAAATGCATTACCTATTAGAGCAGAAACCTATGGCTCTGTTTGGCTGGTACTTTGGTTTATATCTCTGGTAAATGATGCCAAACATAGCCCAACTACCATAGATATACCTGGCAGAAATCATGTCAGTAATGCCTTTGTTTCCATAGACTCAAATAGACATCTATGATGCTATAATATTTATATTGCAGTTTTGTCTTTTCTAGCATATCAATTGTCCGGTACAAATAGTAGGTTCTTGGTAAGTAATTATTGAATGACTAAAATTTCATGAGGAGAGAAATCATGAACACAGTGACTCCAATTGTCTGTGTCCAGATGCTAAAGGCCCTCCTGCCAATGGAATCAAAGAGAAAGAAGGGAGGAGAGAATGCGTATGAAGAGCACATGAAGATGATCATGAAATATCTTCGCTGGTGGTAAACAGTAATGGGCATAAATCCGTTCACCTACTCATGGAATATAGACTGAGCACACAAATCATTTCTCTCCACCAGGAAATAAGAATCAACAGAGAATTTAAGATCCGTGTCAGATGTGGAGGTAGATATATACAATTACAAAATATAAGATAGCTGCGAACAAAGAGATGAACAAAGAATCATAAGACTGAATGTGCACAATAAAAATCTATCTTTTATCACTTGTATTATTCCTGCTCTGCTCCGAAAACATAAGGGACATGTGGACAATGAAGATGTAGTCACTCATTATGGGCAACTCTGATAAAAATCCTCTTTACCTTCTTCACTTTCAGAGACTGAAAATAGGCACCTTAGTAGGAGGAGCGAGTACGTCTGAAAAGAAACTTGAGAGCACGTGTCAGTGAGCCTTGGAAATATTTCCAAAGATCTTGCTAATCCAAAGTTATTTAATATAGTCTTTATTTTGTCAAGTGTTAAACCCCTAAGTTATTCTTCCTTAATAGTTGATTAAATCAGCTTCAAAGACAAATCACAACCAGGCTTTTTAATCATCTTTTTTTTTTTTTTTATGAAACTGCAGCATTTAGCCTCCAAGAAGCTTTAAAGATGAAGACATTGATTGCATTTTCAAATCAGTGAACACAATAGACCAGGAAAGGGAATAGAAAAAAACTGACTCCAGTGATGCACAGACATCAGCGTGTGTTTAATTTTTCACACTACATTGGGCTGGAGAGAAACGATGCCACACATTAGAAGAACATGTTTTCCTTTGATTTAAAGTCCAAACGCAATGCTTCTTACCTGAAAAGTTTTTGTAATCCACTAAGTCAAACATGACAATTGCCACAGCTGACCATGTGATTATCAGAGCGATGACCAGAAGCCAGGCTGCAGGGGAGCTGAAGGTGGTCACGATGTCTTCGGTGACAGTCCTCTTCAGCACCTTTCCAGGGGACTTGGGCAGAGACCCATTTTTGTTGTCTATCACAGTTGTGGTTGTAGATGCATTTCCTAGTCACGCACCCAGAAAACAAACATAAGAAAGTAAGTAACACAGACTGTTGAACTCTTGATGCTATTTTCTATAGCAGAACATATTGCGTAATGCGAGATAATAATCCACAGCCCATCATCACATTATCCCACTTTCAGCATTTTATCCTGAAACCTGGGGGCTTAAGTGGTCAGCGGTCTTCATCTCCAGTGCCATTTTCCATTCTCACTATTAGAAGCAACTGTGAGTTTGGGGGCTAAGATGCTTTCCTTACTATGACCTTTGATTTGCGTTCCCTTGAAGTTTAGAAAGCAAGTGAAAAAAAAGTCCTCTTAAGGAGAGAATAAAAATTAGTGATAAAGTAATTCAGATGGATGAAATTTTTATTGATATCCTGCTTAATTGCCTAACTTGTCCTCAATGACATCACTATATTTCTGGTAAGTACACAGAACTAAAAGTAATGTTGGGAGATCTTAGAATATCGATTAACTTGATTTTAAGAATTTATAACTCACATCACAATACACAAAATATATAAGATAGCAAAGTTATAAGCAAAAGTCAAATGTATCATTTTAAACCTCACCATTCAATGTTAAAATGTTCTTTTTTTCTAATTTTCTCTAGATAAATTTAATTGTGTAAATATGGTTATTTGTTTGTAAGAAGTTATAATCATACTTTCATTTGCATTTAGCTAATCAATATAGAATAAGTGGTATAAATACTTCAGTATAATAATTTTTTAAACTAGAAAATAAAGTATGGGCTCTTGAAACAGATGTGTATGCAGTGATGATTATGGTACAATTTTAGTTCATAAAATATTCTTTAAGTGTTTGTCAAAAATATGACCAAAGTATGGTCAAAAATGCATATCAGTATATTGCTCAAATAGGGCACAATTGCACAAGGAGTAAGGAATTTTTATGACAAAATGGTTAATAACGTTTTAGATTTTCAAAAGGTTAAAATGTTAATCAAGGGCACCCTTGGTGAGATGATTTAAATAAGATTTTCAAAATGGCTTTTGATATATATTAGCAATCATATTGCCAGACTTCCTTTTAAAAAGGGGAAACTATGGAGTTACATGCTTCAAGTTCATGAACTCAATTTAGTGGAAATGATAGCAAGATGGACTACTACCTTTAAAAACAGATTTCATAAGCTGTATTTGAAGTGTACTCAAAGAAGAAAAAATTTGAAAGAATTCACATCATATCCTCTCATTGATTTTTGTGCCAAATTCCCATCACTCCTAATGGTAGTTCTGAAATGGATGAATGATTGGAGTGCTTTGAAATGAGATTTAAGACCCAAGTGAGGCCACAAGTGAATCAAACCTTCAGAATAATGATTTTCAGGAGAGTAAATGAATTATGAGTGTTTAGGAGAAGCCTACCTGAAAGCTGATATGTTACTAATCTCCAGTATTTTAACCTCTGGAAAGCTTTCTGTGACTCCTACAGAACTGCTTCTGCACTTCAGCCGCACTTGAGGAAGTCGGCGAGTGCGAGAAGAAAAGCTGCAGACAACGCTACAGGAAACTGCGTGGCTTCTTCCCAAAGCGTGTGTAAGTTTAAAGAGATTTGGTTCCAATTTCTAGATTCTTCATCACATGTTTAAAATGTAGAAAATTTAAATAAAACATAAATTTTCCTTTTTAATCAAGAACAAAGAAGGAAATACAAGTCCAAGAAGCAACGTGAGTTCACAATGGAAATATGAATTTTTCAGTTTTTAAGAATTAGTAGAAGTTCTGAACTTTAATTCACTTTCTAATTCTGATAATAAAGCTATGGTGGAATTTTCAAACAGATTAAAATGATAAAGTGAACACTACTAATTTCATTATCCTTTTTAATTTTTCACATTCACACTGTCAATTTTCCATATAAAAATTAAGCAAAGCTCAAAGTGTTATGGAAATTTATGTCACATGTCCAACTAGAAAACAACAATCTGACAGCCATCAGATGGTTATCTGGCCAAAAACAAGTTACTCACCTTTGTCAGAAAGCACCCTAAACTGTACTTTTCATTTCCTATTCAAATTTGCTACAGGAACTACACAAAGCCAAGAGGCAGAAAATAGAGTGGACACAAAATTGCCCTCCTTGACTGCTGGTCAAGATAAATTCAAAGATCAGCTTGTGTAATCTGAGATTAGTTCATGATTGAGAAGCACTTTAAAGATGTCATGAGCAAGTTATTGACGTTCTGGAAAGAATGAGAGGTAAATGTGACCAAGCAGCTTGTCACGGGCTTCATGTCCGGAAACTTGGCACTTCAGACTTGGAGTAGAGAAGTCAGGNCTGATTGCTCTTTGGGCTGACGAGGGAGGGGGACTTGATTGGGGGAGGGGGAAGGAAAGGGGAGGCGGCGGTGGGGAAGAGACAGAAATCTTTAATAAATAAATAAAATAAAATAAAAAAATTGCAGCTGTTTGGATTATTTTGGTTGCTATAAGGAATCTGGTTCAAAAGAAGCAAGTCTGACTGCAGAACCAATGTGGCCCTGTGTGGTAAAACAGAATATGAAGTACCTTATACATGGGTCCCAAAGATGGCTGCAATCAAACTGCACATGGGAAAATAAATCAGAAACCTCCTGGTGGGAGTCATTTAACCTCCCCATGCCTTATTGACCACTTGAAGAGACTGCCAGTTGCACTTGACCCTTTTTGTTCCTGTGCAGGACCAGCAATATAAAGCTTGGCAAGAATCTCAGGGAGATATGCCCAGGTTACAGATTGGTATCAGCAAAGCACTACATTTTTCATTATATAAAAGCATTAAGAACTTTGCATTTCTGCATGAGATGTGATTTATGAAACACAATATATTTCTTTAAAATTTGGAGATTAATGGGGAGAGGTATTATATGCCTTCCTAAAATAAATTGAAACCATAATTCACAATCTCCTATTAGAATGAGTTTTCTCTGTTTGACTACAAAACTTAAGTAAGAAATTTTTTAGAAGTATCTCTTGAAAGAGTCATTTTACAGGTACAGTTGAAAAGGTTATAAATATCTGTCTTTTAACAATGTAAGTAGCAATTGTAGAATGTATATTTATCATATAGAGAATTGGCATGAGTTAGTTATAATTTTCTATAAGTATATAAAAACTAAAAGACACTAATGAGAAATTCAATTTATAGAAACAGTCAATAATGACTTATGTTAAAATAGTTATATATCCTCATCAATATATTAATATTTCTGACACATAAGAAAACAAGTATTTTTAAAACACAAAGTCTAGATATTTTAGTCAAATACAAAAATCACTAATCCTTTTTGGAGAGAGAATTACTTTTATAATAAACTAGAACCTTATTCTCTTCCAAATTCAATTAAAGTCTCATATTTACATTAATACAATTTTCTATGACTTTTAGGAGGGGATGATAATTATAAAGAAATTACAGAAGACATTTTGGTAACTTTATCTAGTGAGGTAGAAATACATAAGTAGTTATATTTAATCTTATTTCATAAATATATTTTGATCATAATCTTGGCCTTCTCCAAGAGTCCTTGTCCTTTCAGAGCCTCCAGAACTCTCTCCCTACCTACACAACTTCATGTTATTTCTCTCTCTTTCTTTCTCTAAAAAACAAAACAAAACAAAGAGAGTATGATCCCAACTCCTCAATATCCATACATTTCTTCTATTGGGTGAGTGTTTTTTCCTCTAATGCTGAGGGCAAAATGAAGGCCAGTTCTGCATCACCAACTGCGAGAACAAACTTTTAAACCAAGTTTGTCACTCAGATTGTAGTTCATGACTATGAGAGGTGGTATAAACACCCCATGACTCATTTTTTTTCTGTGAAAGAGTCATAAGACATTACATTTCTGCTTCAAAGTTGTGAGTAGAACCTGTAATGGCTCTCAAGTCCACCATAGAGATATACTCAAAAAAAAAAATGGATACTCAGGATCTGGAGATCAACCAACGAACCAAGTTATTCTTAGATTCAGACACATGCCTGACCTTTCTAGACACAGGCATGTATACTGATGACTCTAGTTTTATTTTGCTGTTTCTGCTTGCCTCTGTTAGGGATATAAGGTTCTTCTTCATCTGGTTGTACCATGATAACTCATCAGTCAGAACATTCCGAATCCCAAAAACTTTTACATAAATGACTTTTACATTTCAAAGGAAATATTGGATTTCAGTTTTGTTTCTCAAGTGGCTGAACTGTCATGGTACTAAAGTGAAAAGAATTTTTTTTTTGGAGGGTTGCAAAATCAATGTCTGTATTTGAGATGCTTCTAGAAACACTTAGAAACAGCTCACTTGACATCTGATCAAGAAAGCAGTCTCACCTGTGCTACTTTGGTCTGAAAGTGTGGGTCCCCCAGAATATAACCTAAAAGCTCTGATCCCAAGGTGGCTGTTTCAGGATAAGGGACCCAGTCAAGTTATGAGTGGAAGATGTCCTTTAGAAAAGAGATCCATTCATCATAGCAAGTGAGCTTGGAATGAAATGACAGCTGTCCCTAAAAAAGCAGGAAGATTCTTCGACCTGTGAGGAGGATGTTTGTAACCCAAATTTGAGCATATTCATCAGTGTAATTATTCAGTGTGCTTATTCTGAAATATGGTAGGTGTTCCTCTGTGTTTTAGCAGTTGAAACCCAGTTGTCCCTATCTTTTGAGATTCTTATTTTCATTTTAGTGGTAGCTCATTATTGGAAGTTATTTTTTTTAAAAAAAATCAATGATGAGTATATACTTTAGTGTTTTGGACCATAAAGCTCAGTTCCTTGTGTTTTGTGTTTTATAATCTTTTAAAATGAATGTAATTTTAATCAGGAATATTAAAGTGCTCATAGACAAATATAATGAGAAAGGTAAAGTTATGATCTATTAGGAACATGATAACTAAAATTTCATATTAGAAGGTGCAATGCTTTTTATACAACAAGCCTCAAATACATACTTAGATAAAACCAATACTGTAACAGTTGATCAAAGAAATTATTAAAATAACATATTAACCTCAACATTTCTACATCTAGGAGGATATGCTGTTCATGATATCTTCTTCCATGAAGCAACAAATGAGACATTTTTCTGATAAGAGAAAATGTTGAAATGAAAGATAGGCTACTGCTAAAAATGAAAAGAAAATGTCTATTCTGTTCTGTCTTGTAAGACCTGAGAATTTTAGGTGGTCAATCTAAGTCTGGTTGTGATATAAGCTATCTGGGGACTGTAAGCCTATGTAGATAGGTGATAAATTGTTCATCAATGACATGCAAGTCCTTTTGTTTGAACTTGAGCTAATCTAATGAGATTTTAAAAGTAATATGGACAAAGTCATTGGCTATGAAGCATACATTATTATTAAGCAGTAGCATTTTTTTCCAAAGCGACAGTGAGAACTGATAACTCAGGTGCCAT